CGAGAGAAACTCGAATCCTTTATCATAGCAACAATGAAACCAGAGGAGGGTGATACCGCGAATGAAGAAGTTAACGAAATGGGAAACACTGAAGCGTGGGTAGGAAGTTTCAATACGATTTAGAAGAAGTCCTTTCTCTCTCTCTTTTTCTTTGGTCGCGCGTTAAATCATGGCGAAAGATGTAAGCCACATCTGTGGGGAAGGAAGAGAATATGCCGCGAATTTACGATCGAAAAACTTTCATCGCGCTCTGGAGCCTCTGATTGTTTTTTCTTCTCCTCGAGGTCGACGGGAATCGATTGTGTTTAATAACTCAGTGTCGACGGACACGCGTACATCTATTTTTTCCTCGATCGCAAATTTTTCGCGCGAGTAAACCAACGAGAAATACGACATTCTAGGAAGATAGAGAGAGAGAGAGAGAGAGAGAGAGAGAGAGAGAGAGAGAGAGAGAGAGAGAGAGAGTGGAGGAGGGAGAAACGCAATTAAGGAAATAGTAGTATCCGAAATTATCGGAGTATTTCATACACCTACGTCAATTTGATGACACTCGATGGAAGTTTGCAGCATAATCTAGTTAAACGCTCGAGAATCTCGAATGCAAAAAATGCTCTCAGACGAAACGGAGAAAAAGAAGAAAGTTAGTTACGTAGACAGATCGGGTATGAGAAACTGTACATGTATTGTAGTAGAACTATAAAATGCGAAAAATACGAGGTAAAGAGAAAAGTTTTCGGGATGATTTTGGACGGTGAGAAAGAAAAGGGACATGGTGAAAGAGAAGCAAAGGAATGGCATGCACGTAGGCGTGTAACGCGGTGGTATCTTCGTGCCGGCGCGGACCTACAGGTGGTAGGAGGTGCGGCTAGGTGGCGGGTGGTGGAGGATTCTGCTCAGGGTATAATAGAGGGTGCAACAGCCCTCTCTGCTCACTCTACGAGCACGCATCGCCCTGCCGAAAACTTGCCACAGAATACGCGAAGAAAATCGTCAGTGAGATATCTCTCTTTGCTGTGTAATCACTCGATCGTCCAAACAGAAGTACCACCGAAGAGTCCTCGTCGTGAGGAGCGTTTCGATTGCAAACAAGGTAGGATTCGTACTTTTACGATCTTCCATGCGCATCATTTCTTTCATTCAATTCATTTTATACGATACATAGTGTCTCATGACATACACATTTATATTTGGATAGATTTAATGAATTATTTTCTCTATAATAGAAAATTGCGAAATCGGACCTCGAAACACGAGGGAACTCTCTTTCTTTCATTCTTCTTTTCGATTAACATTTCACATGGTTAGAAAAGAAGTTGTAAACCAGAGAAATGTAGTATCGCGGCACCCACTGTAATCGATTTCAAGATAATCAGTTTCTTTATGATTGTCAAGTCGACGTTGTTATTCAAGTTATGGCAATAGTTGTGAACCACCACCCCACCCAACGATTCTGACGTATCCAGTGCACAGAAGATCGAATCGTGAAAGGAGTGAAATCGAGTAAATCGAAGGGAAGCAAGCGGAATTCAGCGCTGATTGTGGCATACGCTCGATTGACTGACGGCACGGTGCAAGGAGAAAAGGCCGCTCGAACAATCGCGCATTAACTCGCAATTTTTCGTGGTAAATGCCTGAACAAAGAACGACCGAGACTCATTGTTCACTGAATAAACAGTCCGATGTGCATTACATTTACCAGTGCGTAACACGAAAAATGTTAGCCTACCCTTTTTACGCTTACGAACGAACGGACGAAAAGAATAAAAGAACACTATCGTGGAAATTTTTTCGAAATAGTTGGACTACATATGATGTTTGCGTGGGGGAGGTATATTTACCTCAAAATATATGTATCTATAATACGCGCAATGCCTCTTTTCTTTATATTCGAATGTTCTACGTACGTGTACACAAAGCTCGATAACAAATAAATTAAGAAATAAATAAATAAATGGATAGGAGAAATCGACGGAGACAGTCAAAGTAACGCGGTCAGATTTTTGTAGGCGATCCAAATTATGTAAAGTGGTAATTGCGCGCATCCCCCCTAATGTTATCTGTCTAAACAAGTGGCCCGGGTCGCCAGATAAATTACTCAGCTGAATGAATTCGCGCGCGCGTTTCTTGGGTCATCAAGGATTATCCCTTCACGTGATAAGCCAGCTCGTGGAACGGGGTACGGAAGAGGGCCGCTGGATAAGATTACGCGAAATCGCAAACAAGGATCGAAGTCGAACAAGAGTTATCCGATGTCCCGTTCATAGACCAATCGTCCGACAATGTCGCTCGTTACTTGTTTTTCCCCTTCTTGTTTTTTTTCCTTAAAAATTGCCACGCCTGCGCGCAAAAATTAGAGATTAATTTCTTGCCGCGTCTCAACTTTAAATGAAAAAGAAACACTATGCTCGGTTTATTAAAAATCGATCTTCTAACAGCGTTAGGGAGAGAGAAAGAATGATGGAGGGAAGATCCAATCTCGCTGGTGTTCCGTTTGACCAGCTTCACTACGACAGTTCGTGGCATTTTGTGTAATAACAGATTTGTTTGGTTTGATGCCACCGTAAAGGGTTAATAAACAAGGCTAAATACGTCCAAATTCCGCGAGCAACACACACACCAAGGTTATACTTTGAACAATTAACAACGTTGCTGGGAATCCCGTCTCTCTCTCTCCGTCCGACGCGCGACCTTTGCGTATACGATCGTTCCTTCAAAAGCATCGTCGTCGCGTATTACCTCAAGGAAATCGAAGAATTCGCTCAGACACACGGTCCAGATAATAGACTAATTAGCAAATCCTTCGAGAGCTCACGGTTGCTCGCGAGTACTCCTAACAAGCCGCAGATTCATCTCAAGATTCCGGAAACGCAACAAGTGGAAAGTCAAAGGGCTTTTTAACCGGAATCCACTGGAGCTTCTGTTAGCTCTCTCTCTCTCTCTCTCTCTCTCTCTCTCTCTCAGATGCGAAAGGATCAAAACGAATCGGAGAATTTGTAAGCCAATATAGACGAAAAAGGTGACAACAGCTGTCGCGATAACGATCGAGTGTACGCGAAATCGTGTAACTGACTTCGTGACAATGATATTTACGGTCGAACGAGAAACAGGGGGACCGATCCCTGAGATAAATCGACGTTTGATGAGTGATTCCAGTCGAAAATAAACACCCACGTAGATCGACTAATTGAGCAGTCTGTCCGCAGCTGGCCGCGTTCATTTTTCTTCCTCTTTTTTTTCTCCTCTGCGACTCGATCGAAGGCTCACCTTTCCTCGGAAACGCGTCAATCATGGAGTTTGCCGAGACTTTCGGCCAGCGTCGCAATTATTTTCGCCGCTATTCCGATTCTTCGCGCGCGCACCTCATTCGAATGAATGATGGATGAGGAGCAGCAAATAGAGAAGGGAATTTTTTTTTCTCGGTGATAATCACGATTCTTGCTCAAACTCCGATTCATCTTGGCGTCATTGCGTCCATAAGATCGCCAATATAGGAAAACTTGCGAAACATTCTCTGATTCGCGATACTTTTGCTCTCAACTGATTTGATTCTACATATTGTATGTGTAGTTCCGTAAAACAGAACACAGCAAGGTACAGTAAAGATTTGGTATGAGGTCCAAAGTCGGGACCGCTGTGTAACAGCTACGAAAAAGGTGGTAGGTTTCTCAAACTCTTTGTATTTTACCGACACCGACGGACGCAGAAAGAAACAGCAGACAAAGAAGAGAGAGGTATTGAAAGTCGAGCCAGTCCTAAAATGTCAAACATCTACATATCGGTGAGACAACACTAATACAAAAGAGAAACTTTTTTATTTTTCGTGTTTTGCTGATAAAAATTTTACTAACATATCCATTTTTTTTTTCTGATTAAAATGATACCAAACACGGTATAATTCGGTGTATATTTAGTTACTTAATAAGAAATTCCACACATGCATATGTACATACACACATAATTACGCCCTCCCTATAAATAATTAATACATATTTACATACATCCACATTTTATTATGTCTTTACTATATCTATTAAATATAAGACACCTAAAAAAGATTACATATAAGGATTTACAAAACATGCAACCCGACGTTGCATTGCTTTAAAAATAAGAATATTGTTCGCGAAGGGTCTAGCCACGGAGTGGGGAAGACGATGGTCTTCTGGTAAGAGGACTGTAAGGGACAACAAATTGATACCGCAGAACCTTCAACACATACGAACCTTTTATTAGTAAAATTTTTAACATATTAGTAAATTATAATTGTTCGCAAACTGCTTGCGAACTGCATGTAAAGAGTCCTGAGTAGTGTAAACGTTAGTATAACAACTCCTATATGTATTCTTATGTGCCCTTTAAACTCGTCAGAGGTCAAATTTCGTTTCTTCCTATACGATAACGGATCAAAGGCAATGCCGCTTAGGAACCGTTATCCTGAAAAAGAGTGTCCCATTCGAGAATAACCGGATAGGTTCAGTTCTAGTTCTGGTTAACGGTTCCCTTTTAGCACAGCTATGAGAAATGGTGTTACATTCTGTAGATGTAAACAGTGAAATGAACGTAGCGGGCAAAGGAAGATTCACAAGCCCAATCGACACAACCAAGTTTTGTAACAATATCGTGTTTGGTATCATTTTAATCAGGAAAATCTCACCAATATTTTGATGAAATTTGTATTAACGAAAAATTGAAAATAACAAACTTTTATAGTTTTCATTAGTCGCTTGCCTGGTTCAAGGGTGGTCCCCCCTTGTGGTGGGGATAGACTATGAACCGTTCGCGTATAGATCCCAAAGAACTCTTATAGAATCTTTACTGTAGGTATACTTTTTTTCCATCGACTATACCTCCTGGCTTATTTCGCCGAATCGACGAAAAAACGATTGCTTCAACTATTGGCATGGTTATCAAGTTGACCATAAATTTAAAAAAAAACCGACAATCCCAGGACATTTAGACTTGGTAACTTTGGCTAACACCGAGATCTCGATTCTTTGCAGCGATAAAGAGGATCAAGGGAATGACGGGAAGTTCCAGCGTGAAACGGACAAGCCTGTGTCTGCTGGCACTGTTGTTGTCCTGCCTCTCCAGCGGTAACATCCTCGTCGTTGGAGAGCCAGAGCCGATCCCTTCGGAGCTTCTCTACAGCGAGAGATTCATCAAAAACGCCGAAAATCTCGTAAGCCTGCCACCAATTTTATTTTCTTAATACTACTTAACACTGTCGCCTTTTTACTCGGCTATTACAATTTTCATCAAATACTTTTTCGAAATTTTAAACGGATTGCAAACAATTGTTCATTTCTAAATTGAATCTCCTATTTAACTCTCGACACGTTGAACGTTGCTCAGATTCTACTGAACAAGCTGAAGCTGATCGAGGAGAAAAAGGATATGGCAGAGCGTGAAAAAGCACTGGACGATGAGGAAATGGTGATTCAATCCATGTTAGAAGCAAGAGCGAAGACGAAGACGAGAATTCAACCTGGTGATTACTCCGTCGAAGAGCTTCCAACGCCGAACGCTGTGATCAGTCAGGCACAACGTTCAGGAAAACGCACCGCGATAAGTTGTGAGTATCCGTACCTCGCGATTCTCTATATCCTCTATCCCCTTCGCAAAGAACCTCTTCAATTTTACATCCTATAATAGAAGAACGAAATTATCGGTTGCATTTTCTCTGTCGCGCCATGGACTATTCTCCTCGGATTAGCTCTCGCCTACGTTGGCACGCGAGCAGACTCGAAAAACACGAGGGATTCAGTGGGACGAAAAGAGATGGTTCACGGCTGCGCCCCGTGGAACTTGGTGTGATTTTCAACACGAGAGTAACCGCGATTTCGAGCGAGGGAAACTCGTCGGCAAGTCTGTGCTCGTATTACGAACTTTCGAACCCGCTTCGCCTGATCTCGCCACGTTTCTCCATCTCTTCTTCCTTCGCGATTAAGTACGAAATACTCGGCGTGTAGTACGTGCCTCGCCTGTTGACGCGTTCCTCCTTGCCTGAACGCTGAGAGACGCGCAATCCGTTCCCGTTAACCGAATAAACCACCTCCGTCATATTGACCAAACAAATCCTACGCGAATTATATCTGCTTTAAATGCTCCACGCCGTCTACTGGCCCAGGAATTTCATAGAACAAACAAGAAATGCGGCGAGCATTGAATAGATGTGATAAATCAATCGATTGCGTCAATTGACTTTTGCTGTCACGTGACGTCAGCCCGTCGATTCTTTCGTTGAAAAACAAGTTGACAATCGATCCTCGAGATCGAGGCGATTGGAGCGGGGACTTTTTCATTAACCTCGGCGCCAGACCAGTTTCTGCCTCGAATCCTCTCAACTGACGCTTCTTTTTTCTTTTTCTTTTTTCTTCTTCTATTTTTTCAGCGGAGAGAATTACTAACTATGATGGTTTGATTTTTGCATTGTTTAGATATGACCTTGTGCCATTTCAAGATCTGCAACATGGGGCGCAAGCGACAGTTGCACAAGTAAACGTTAAATAAGAATCGTTTGCGGACGACGGCCACGTCGGGAATGGTCGAGCCTCTTGCGCGGTGCACACTCTGCCTCGACACACGAAGCGAAACCCGCGTGCAGAGAGAGAGAGCTCACGACGCAGCGGTGTAGTGCAAAGAAGGGCCACCTACCTTACGAATAATCGGCCGATGCGACGGAATACTTTACAAATCTCTTCAATCAACTCTACTCGACTACTAGATTTCGCTAAATCTAACAAAACGATCGCGAATCTATCGAGATATCTAACGCGGCTTTACGTAAGATACACGTGCGAGCTTTGGTATTATCTTGGAATATCTCGAAGGCTTCCTCTGTCGAAACGAAAAATAAACGAAAAAGGCAAGAAAAAGTACAAACGAAAGGGAAACACGTTTGGTGTTTCGCCCTCGTATTTCACAGAAGGATGAAGAATAGTTGATTCGCGACCGAATTTCTATCGCTTAATCGTGTGCCCTCTCGCGCGCGCGCAAAATTGAACAACAAAATTAATTGAAGAAACAATGTCAAATATAATACATGTTCTTTTCTCAGAATTGTAAAGTGGTCTTACAGAAGAAAGACTGTGTCTGTTTGTATCGCGCGACGAGCTTTTCCCAAGTTCCACTCGTTCGTTCGAGAATAAAGGGAAACGAGAGGGTTCGTCCCGACCGGCTCGGGCGAATCCTGACGATCGAAAGGACATTGGCAATGCAGCGACCATTACCAAACCATGATCGAATGCACACGTTTCGCTCGTACTATTCAGCAGTATCGTTTCATCCAATCGAGGACACTGCATTCGCGGCCCGAACAATCGTTTTGTCCCGTACAATTGGACGAGAACGCGCGATACGACAACCTCGAAAAAGGCTCTCATCCCCAACACCAACCCCCGTTCCTCCCTATATGTGATTGATTTACTTTTCTAATTAGCACTCCCCGGACTACTCACGAATCTCTCCGAAAAAAGAAAAAAAAAAAATGTAACTGTAGTCTGAAAAACGTGGCTCGAGAGCGACAGATCGCAAACAGACAAACAGACAGGCGGACAGGACAGAGAGCGACGAAAAGAGAAGAAAAAAGAATTCATGCTTTGGAGAGTGGAGTGTCCTCGACGAGCCATCGATAGAGAATCGAAATGGCGAATAGATATTTATTCGTTAGCTTTAAGTGGGAAGGGTGCAAAGGCCGAGGCTCCAACATTCTCGATTCTTCCTTTTTTTTCTTCCTTTCTTTCTTTTAGCGAATAATTTTTCACGGTACTCCCTTCTCTTGTGCAAATTCCAGCTGTAACATGCTGACAGAAATAGAATGTAACCGTTGCCATTCGTTTATTATGCTTTACGACTCTTTTCCTAAGCTTCTTGGCAAATTATAAAACGCTGTTTCCTTCCTATCCTAGATTCTGTTGCATGTCACAGAAAAGAGAGTCAACAAAAAAAAAAAATAGAGAAAAATAAACGAAACTACTCATGTAAAGGAAGAAGGTGAGAATGCTTTAATTTGAGATGTATAGGATACAATGATTTCAGGAGAAATAACAGAGACAGGAAAAGAGAGGCCGCCTGCACCCTTCGATAAATTATTTATAATCGTTTCGTGAAAAGAAACGTACCGCGTTTACGTAGTGTTTTTATGTGTCCCCTTTTTATTTATTTAGCCCCACAAAAATTCGTTATTTTCTTTTAGTAGCTCTTTACTCCGAAAACAGCAGTCACTCTAAAATGTTTTTGTGCGCGACTAAAATACCATCGATCATTTTCTACAGACTTTACTTTTATTATTTATAATTTAAATACATTCTATGTGCACACCTACCCGCCAAATATGTCCTAAATCATTTCTAGAAAATATTACAAAACCTCTTATACGAAAACACATCGCTGTATTGTGACACTTAAAGACGTGTTACTGTCGCTCCAAAGCTAAATCCAATTTAACAGTGTTTTTCATCGTGTGTTGCGCAAGATCGTTTCGAAGCATCGACAAGTGCGCGAAAAAAGTAATAACTAAATGACAGTGTATATAATACTACAACGATAGCAACAATAAAACGTATAATCGTACGTGCAATATGCATTCACAATTCCTATTATTTCAAAGTAACCAAGGTTTCTGAATCCTTTGAAATAAATGATATGAAAACAGTGGGCGGCTCTCTTTCCTGACCACTCGTGAAATTTTCGTAACAATACAAACATCTATGCGATTATACACAACCATTATGTGTAACGTCTAATCAAAGTTCGAACATTTCCTGGCACACGAACAAGTAAGTACATGAACGAAGCGTGCCGTACGGTGTCGTACAAAATATGCGTGGTCCGTCACGTGAGAAAACAAACGTGACATTAAACTGATTTTTTTACACCACTGAACAAACTGTGAAACATAATAAAGCCCGGTGCAGACGAATGATCTGAGATCGTTGGAATTTCTCAGCGGTAATGTTGTGAATTCGGCAGGTTTATATTTCCCGTAGCGGTATTGCACGCTCGTGTGCATTGTATTATTACAAATATAAACCTACCAAATTGCACAGCGTCACCGCTCCGAAAACCCAACATCACATCGCTTGTCTGCAAACGAGTCTAATTCATTTATATTAACTGAAAAAAGTAGCAGCATGTATTATATAAAAATAATAATTCCATTGCCAGTACATACAAATACCATAACCTCATATTGTTTGAAAAATTCTACAGTTAAGTATATGATAAAACTCCTACCAAAAGTTGTAGTTGCTCCAAGTGTCTTCAATTTGCATTTGCTCACGACATAATAGATTAAAAGATCTATTTTTCATGCACAAATATCACAGCCATTCTGAATGATATAACATTACGTCACCACTATCGAAAGTAGTGGCCACTGGCCCTCTATAGATTCATATCTACACTACCCAGAATAGCACACGACGTCTTAGAAATGTTCATTTTACGACCATTTTTGGTCTGAACGTCTGACGACCTAATCTAGACATCTTGAAGACGTACGAATCGGTACATTTTAACAACGTATAAAAATTACGTCTTTAAGACGTTTTTAAAACCGGCGCATAGTACTTCACAACGCCATGTATCAAAGACATCTTGATTTGTAACACTAGAGCAACGCTTGAGTTAACTCAGACAAAAACTTATCGGTTAATTTCAATTTATTTGTGGCTGGTGAAATCCCATGGATAATGGAACTTAAATATTAAAAATGATTAATTGCAGAATAAATTAAGGAATGACTTTATTCGCATACAAAATGGAAGCGTATATTTTTAAAAGTAATTTCTCAATTGATCGATCGATAACTTTACAAAACAGATATTCACAATATGTATATGCATTTTTTATGCACACAAAGTATATACCAATAATGATAAATGGGAGACTATTTACATCATCTCCTTTTTTGCTTGTGTTTCTCGAATTTTTCATATCTCTCCATGGATCGGTCTCTAGTATACTTTTTCTTGTGATTCGAATGTCTTTCATGTTTCGAATCTTCGCTACTGATACTAGAACTATTTCTATCCCGCCTTCTTTTCTCACTGTCGTACTTTTTTTTACGTTTAGATTCTTTATGGCTTTCCCTTTTGTTCTGTTCTCTATCTTTGCTTCTGTCACGACTCCGACCTCTGCTCCTATCTACGTTTCGATCTTTACTTTTACCTCTGCTTCTATCTCTACTTCTTCGCTTTTTTTCTTTTCTTCGCCTAAATTCGTGTTCGTACCTTTCGCGTGAATTATCCCGATATTTTTCTTCCTTATATTTCTCCCCATCATGGGAGTATTCTGAATTGCCCCTATTAATTTCCTTTCTACGCTCATGTTTTCTGTGTTCCAATATTTCTTCCCTATATCTTTTATCGTTTTCTCTTTGACTTCTTGTATCGTCATTCACTTTACACTCGTCTCTCTTTTTATATCTCAAACTACTTTTCTCCCGATTTTCATTACACGTCTCATCACCATTATCGTCGAAATATTGTATGCCTTTACCCTTGCCTCTCCATCTCATTTTGGCTACCGACTGCGAGAAATCTACGTGTACACGACGATCGTCGATTAATACATTATCCATTTTAAAGTACGCTTCCTCGCAACTTTTACGATCGGCAAATTCGATAAACGCGTATTGCAAAGAATCTCCACTTTGTCGATCTCTGATCACTTCGCATCTAAAAGAACAAATGTAACCGATATAGCAAAAGTAACAAGTGTACGTATCGGTAAAATAGAAAAAATCTACATACCCGGCAATTTTACCAAATCTACTGAAAATAATTTCAAGATCGTCATCCGTTGTGACAGGATTTAATTTACAAACGAAGAGAACATTTTCGGGAGGAGCCATTTCCGCATCTGGAATATCCCCTACAATTTCCAATATTGTAGCTCGAGCTTTTGCTTCCTTCTCCTTTTGCATCTCTATAATTTCTTCCGCTGTCATACCAGCTGTATCATCTATTACTTCATCTGCTCCAATTCTATCACTCTGTGAACAAATTCTTCTATTACAATGATGAAAAATTACGAATAAGACTTGAAAACATGGGACACATCAATTATACCATTAAAGCTTCCTTGGTGGGTGGTGGACTTTGATCGGGTATAACAAAACCCTTTGGATCCTCAAAAGGATCTTCTAAAATAACAGTATGAGAAATACGAATGTCTTGGTAGGGTCTATGATCTCCATCACAGATAGTTTCGTTAAATTTCAGAATAATCTCCAGACCTTCTGTAATTTCACCGAATACACAGTGTTCTCCATCTAATGACTGTAGCTCAGGTGCAAGAGTAATAAAAAACTGAGATCCAAGCATACTGTTGCCACAATTCACCATGGACAATAAACCACTTCTATTGTGTTTTATTTTCGGCATTTGTTCTGCTTCATAATATCTTGCTTTTTCACCTAACACTATTCCATATACACTCTCTCCACCTTTCCCAGTGCCAGTTGGATCTCCAGTCTGAGCAATAAAATTGCTCTGAACAGAATGGAACAAGTTCCAATTGTAATATTTTATTTTGCATAATTTTAAAAAATTGCGACATGCTGCAAAAATGATTTATATTAATTAATATTATTATTGCCAACAACATTCTTGCATTAATTTATGCTATTATAGCCACAGGGAAAAGTTAACCTCTCCTGTCGTTTTCCAACTTACTTTGTGGTCGTTCTTCCGTGTATAAATCAACAGTAAAATCTCCTATGGTAGTTTCTACCACAACCGCCATATTATTACAATTTTCTGCCTCTCAGACAAAGATTAAATTCATTTTTAGTTACTATTTACATAACATTCCAAGCTTTTTTACTAAAAGCTACACCGCGATACTCGTATGATATAGTACGAAAACCTAGTATGAATCACCTTCGTGAAAACTGTATGGCGCTGAACTCATGAAAATACGATTCAACGGCATCGCATATTTTTCAAAGCAAAAAAATATTACAGTTTTTTCAATTTTTTATATCAATTGTAACATGTACACAAGTAAATACAGATGAAATATAATACGATTTCACGATTGACAAATACTTTTATCTTTTTTTTCGGGTAAAATGTGTCGTATGTAAACAAGTTTATACTTGTAGGCATCAGGTACAAGAGCATTTAAAACTATGTGCGTTATCGCTGCAGTGAAGCCCCATATACGATGTTTCCCGCCTAAATAAACCGGTAAAGTGTAACTGTCGCGAAACTGAGTGTACCGACATAAAGAAAGATCGCAAAGATTGCTTAAACTAAGGAAGAATGCCTCTTCCACTTCGTTCGTATTGATGTGAAGTTTTTCCGGATCAATTTCGCCGATATAACCAAAAACAGGCAAGACCTTAACGTTCTTCTTATCAATCATATTGCCAGAGGCCCAAAGATCGACTTTCTCTTTTGGAATTCTAAGCTCCTCCCAGGTCTCGCGTAATGCGGTTTCTTCCAGATCACGATCTTCCTTATCGTACATTCCACCAGGAAACGAGACTTGACCGCGATTCGAACTTAATTTCGTAGATCTTAGGGTATATAAAAAACCTAATTCCCCTTTGTGCATGCATAGTGGCACTAAAACTGCAGCCTGATTCGCCTTCTCATCTATAGTTGACATTTTACGAGTCTTGAATTTCTCGATAAAGGATTTTCGATTCTTCTCACTAAGAACTACTTCCGGCCTCAGATGCTCAAGATTGATCGTACTTAGGCTCCCTTGTGATTTCGTCGACTTTATTGTAAAAAAGAAACATTTTTTTAATGCGATATTACGATGACATTCAGCAATATCGAAACGCGGACATTTCAGTTGTTTTCGCACGTTGCATGCTAAAAAAGGTTGATTGAACATATCTTTAGAATATTTAACGAACTGATATTATCTCGTGAAAATTAAGAAAAAGGGATAGGAAAATTTATATATATTCGAGGTTAACGTATTTTATGTTTGCCGCCACAATTTAAAAACAAATAAAATGATATCCGGCAAGAGAAACGCCATCTAGTGTATGGAGAAAGAAACAAGCGAGTTTAGGATTCATGACATTCACATGAAAAAAGAAAAATACTTACAAACCAACGCTGTAAACAGCGTAAAGAATAAGACTGTAATTTCATCGATGCGAACGGTATTCGAGTAATTCCTCTTACGTTTCGTAGTTACGAGCGAAAAACTGTACGGAAGAGATACTTTGTTTGAAACGTGACTTACTTTAATGCTCAATTTATCAAGAATCTCTCGCAATATGTCTACCTTCATGATTTTATATACAGCTACTAGATGTCTGATCAATCGACTTTATATGTTCCTCTTTTTTAAAATTATGTTATTCGATGCATTGATCATACGGGGTTCAATTTGTTTTTGTTTATATCATTTTATCTTATCATCGTGTATTTTATTATTATATCGTTTTATCGTAACCATTTCGAACCTACGACCTGAAGAACATTTTTCCAGTAGTAATTATTAAACAGATCGTTTAATCGTTCATAAAACCCACCATTTCGAAACACACACCAATAATTAGAATATTCCCTGTATCATGCTTATGTACCCTCTGGTTATTGCTGGCAGTAAAATTATTACTGTCGGTAGTTAGGTGTACTATAATTTTTTATGAGATTTCACAAAATCACAGAAAACAGGAAGATTTTAAATGTTACCTTTCACAATTAGTACGGTGTATTACGCGAAGAAAAACGCAAAGAACGACGCAAAACGCCTACCCGTTGACCAAAGTAAGGTTTATTTGAACAACACTCGTATGGCAAAGCAACAACCTACTGTTTTGCGCGATAGCCGTATAATCTATTTGAATTGTCAAAAACAAAGTATTTTTATTTTTAATTTACACACGGGAAATTTGATTTTACTCGATGTACAATTAGGAAATTTTAGCAGTTGTAACAGTTGAACACATGAACAGGCTTGAATTATTGTAGGATTTTGTTCTAGGTGTAAGACAAGCAAAATATCCCTATTAAAAACGAAACAATGATCCTCGTATTTTATTTCGGTGATATTAACAGCGTGAAAATTAGATTTTCATGTTTTGACTTTTACGATGCGTTGACTAACTTACTATGTGACCATGGCCCACATCATAGCGCATACATATACATATATGGACATCATATGTACATACAACCACGTATCCCGAAAATGTACGTTAAGATTTTTTCGTTTCTATGTTTTCTAATGTTTTCAAGCATTGGAATTTTTATCTCGTCGCGACGAATAGATTTATAGTAACGATTAGCAGTCTGCTCTCAAGGTTGGAATACATTCGAATGCATTCGAATTTTAATGCCTTGGGACAATAAATTAATTATGAATCGATTTATATGAAAGAAAATATCTGAAGCTACACGCTGAGATTCCAATTGGATTGTATTAATATTATATACAAAACTGGTGTACTTTAATATTACGTAAATAGCAATTATTGCAATTATAAGTGACCGTTAATGTTATGCGTACGCATATGTACTGAAGACAAGCGATGCAGCTCTATTAAATGAGAGTAGTAGATTCTACTATCTTTTCTATTTGTTAATTATCATGGTAAAAAGAATGAAAGCAAATGTCATATCGTAATAATATTTATTTGTACGAATTAGTTTTATAACCGGAGACGTTTTCCGCTTTTAAGACTATCTGCCGGTAATAATAATGAGTTGTACTAAAACAAGGTAACAAGTATTCGTTTTAAATATTTAAATATTTAATATAAAGTTCGAAGAATTAACGATCAATGTTCAAGGATTAATGTTTTGAATTAGAAATCGATGTCTTATCACGGTGATATCGATTAGCCAAGTTAATCCTAATTACGTATAATTATGTTTGAAGCTTTTCCTTACTTCTTTTTATTATCAATACTTTCAGGAGACTCGAAAATGAACCGTTTTATTCTGTATACTACAAATAACTTTGAAATTCAAGAATAAGCTTCGAATTTCCGGTAAAATGCTATATTCCTGTGAAAACGAAGTAGAGGCCGAACAACACCGAAAACACCCGAAGAGCTCTGAATCATATTTGATGTTTTAAGGCTGCAGTTACCGCCGTCGTACGTTGGTCGTACTGTGTCGTTGGTAGGCTAGAGTGATATAGACGTGTTTGTTGCTCAGTGAAACGTGATCGTTTTCCGCTTTTGTGTTTTCGTCGCTTATTTCAAACAGTTATTTAGAACATATTAATGTGGATAATACAGGCAATGAATAACTATACCAAATCTATGTATTAACGTAAAATTACGACTGTAAGAAAATCGTTCGATATCGGCTACGCTCAAACGCGTTATGCATTGGTTCTATGTGCTTTCTCGAGGTCATCGTCGGACTTTGACAGACCTTAATATGTCACGTCTAAACGTAATATTACTTGTGCTGGGTACTTGGAGTCTTATCGATACTGTAAGTAATCATACGTAAAATGATAACTTGTTTATGAATCGAAAAAAATGATAGAACACGTTACACCACACCCTGGTGTCACGAAATGTCTCATATTTATGACGTCACCTCGGCCGATCATCGTGAAAGCCTATCGTTGACGACGCCGCTGCGGCCGCCGTCGCATTCGACCAAAGAAGTCTATTAAATTTAATTATGCCTTTGTCTTATTCGTTAAAAGGACACATTAACCAATACGATTGACTACTTAAGCTTTATTTGTCGGGGCGAGGTCAGCACGCGTTTTTTTTGCCCTTATTAAAGTCAATTTTCCCGCTTAAAAGAATACAACAAATTCACCTTCAATTTTCCCGTACGTGTTTTTTGGAATTGACGTCAAACTCTTTGTTTATGCTGATCCTCTGCAAGGCATTCATATGCTTCGCAAAGAGAGACGTTCAAACTTTTACTTGTATGTACAGTGACTGTCACTTAAAATCGTACACCTAGGGGTTCGGCCGATTTTTTGCAAACACCTCCCCAATCTCCTGATATGAATGTAATTGAACATGTGTGGAACGAATTAGACAGGAAAATACGATTACACAATATTACAAATAAGGAAAGTCTTAGAAAAGCTTTACAAGAGAAATGGTTAAATACAACACCCCAATTTTGTGAAAATTTACTAAAATCAGTTCCTGGACGTCTAAAATGTGTTGAAAATGTATTTGGTTACCTTATATTTCATACGTAAAGACAAATTTTGTCCAATTTACTAAGTATTATTAAAAATTTTGTTATAGTTTTTCCATATGTTAAATAAAGAAGCATTAAACTATATGCCTGCATATGGGTTTTAATCATTTAGTAGAATTTTCACATTTTATTGGGAAAAAAAAAAAAGCCAGAACCGCTAGGTGCATGATTTTAAGAGACAATCACTGTATAGTTTTGAATAAAAAAGCGATACCTTGAAAAATGATTCAGAAATATTTTTATTTGCATTTAAAGCAAAAATTAATGAATTATTGTTTATATATAACTAGATAGGGAATAATGTCTTTTCAACATAAAAGAGAAATGAATATAAAACAACCTTTTATTTCTGTAACACTGACTAATGGTTAACTTAATTTATATCAATGACTTCATTTAATATCAGTTTGTCTTGTTATCAAATGATTGAATGTGAGAGAATTTCAAAGTCTTTGTGTACATTCTTATAATGTAGTGGAGGCAGTGATTTATCACATGTGAATGTTGTATAATTGATACAATGACATAAATATGCTACCTTTGTGTTTTTTAATGAACAGTTTTAAGAAGCTGATAAAAAATTAAAGAACTATAAATGTATTTTAAATAACTTTTTCTTTAAAGTAGTTACATTTAAGTATTTAATTGAAGGTAAATGGTTTAATGTTTTATAATAGATATCTGCAGAACAAAATGGTCGGTGTATTTGGTATGGAGAATGTTACACAGACATGTATAGGCACAAGAAGAATTGCAATTATACAGGAATACCTAAGTTATTGGATAACGAGGGACAAAAATTGCTCTCTAAAAATTGTCCTCATTTAATGAACGATTTTGGAAATGGAATTCATACTTGTTGCGATACAAATCAGTTAGAAACTATGGATAAAAACATTAAGCTAGCAGCAAATTTTTTGAGCAGATGTCCTAGCTGCTTGGATAATTTAGTGAAGCATATTTGTGAATTTACATGTAGTACAGAACAAAGCAAGTTTATTGATGTTACTGACATACAGAAAGAAAATGGTAATTTGATTTCATATTCAATATACTTCCTGTAAATATGAAATGGCTAATATATATAGTAAATAATGAATTATTTTCTCTTTAGGAACAAGCTACATAAATGGAATAAATATTTATATAACAAATGAGTATCTGGAAGGTACATTCAATTCCTGCAATAAAGTATCAGTACCTAGTACTGGACAATTAGCAATGGATATAATGTGTGGAATATGGGGGGCTAGCAGATGCACTGCATTAAAATGGTTTCATTATATGGGCGATGCTGCAAACAACTTATATGTACCTTTTCAAATTACATACATAAACACTGATGAACCTGTTGGTTCATTTATTCCTGTAGATACTAATGTTACTCCTTGCAACAAAGCATTGAATGTAAGTGTTTAAGACTTATTCTTTAAATAAAATACACAACTATCATAAAACTGTTAATGAAACATAAATAAATTATCTCAGCTGGTCATTGTTCATACATGTACATTAATCAGTACTGTGTGAACTAGTTTATAATTGCTTGAGACCATAGTGTAAATGAAGAAAATTAATATGCATATTTTATTTACAATAAAAAGTAATGATTTTATGTATACCACCAATTTAGAAAAACACACCAGCATGCAGTTGTGTAGACTGTGAAGCCAGTTGTCCAGAACCACCAGCACCTCCTCCTTTGCCAAAACCCTTCACCATTTTTGGCTATGATGGCTATGCTGTGGTTATGATTATTACCTTTCTGTGTGGTTCAGCTCTTTTCATCTTGTCAATAGTGTGCTTCAATAATAGGAAACAAATTGGTAAGAAAATTAAATTGTTACTTCAGAATATTTATTTGAAAAATTGTGTAATGCATCTTTTTTTCCTGAACTTTGTGACATATTTTATTCAACAATAGTTTGCATAATTTTTTTTACCTTGCATCAGTGACTAATTTTGTATGTAATTATCCTTTATTTTGTTTTAATGAGAACAAAGTACAGTTCAGTACAAATTATTGTAATGTCTGATCCATACCATTGACCTTTTTCTGTGGTTACAGGATCATTTTTACTCTTGTGTTATTTCTATATTATCTTATTCTTTGGTTGTGGTTTAAGAATTAATTTTGTAAATTCTGCACTATGCTTGGTTTGATGAATTTTTGTTTTTTATTTTCTTCCTTGATTAATTGTGTAGCAGTTTTACATTGTTATTAAAACAAGTATAAGAATAACATTAAATCAATTAACATCAAGTACTTCAATTATTTCAATGAAAAGTGGTTGTATTACAATATTATCAAATGATACAAATAAAAGAAAAAGAAAATTAACTTTTTACAATGTACTTTTTTTATCATGATATATTTAATAATGGAAATATACATATAAGATAACTGTATGAAATTGAAAAGATTTGATTTAGAATCACCAGTTGTATGTATGGTGTGCGTATATGTATAGTTGCACGAGGTGAGGAGGTAGGAAGGCAGGTGGGTAGACGCCTAGCCGCAGGTTTGCATCACCCAGGAGATGGTGCGCGTATTGCTCTCGCCGCAGACCAGGAAGACAGCCCACTACAATCTAAGCGTTCCAGTAGGTTCCTATCAAGTGTATCTTCAATATGTGGACTTATGCTTGACCCTTAATTTCTTTTTTGTTATTGTATCTTCTTTTGTTGTTATGGTATTGTGCTTGATACTTATCCTTATCATCTATGCTTTAAACTTTTGTCGGAGTAAAAGGCTTTCCTTCAATTTCTCCTATGAGTACTACCATCTTATGTTACCATCCACAAAGACTCTGTGAATTTTTATATGTCAATATGCCTTTAAATGTATGCAGTATATTTCTGGGAATATACTTAAGAAAGAAGGGAAAAAACATAATTTCTTATATCATTGTTATAAACATTACATATCACGAATGCGCAGAATAACTTTCAGTTTCATAACATTTTTATACTTTTACATTTATTTTAATTTTATATTTTACACTTTAATTATTCTACATTTCGAAGAAACATGTAAAGCATTGTATTTGGTATTTAAAACTCTAAGTTGCTACACTTATACAAGTAATTGTTTGCTTTTCCTTTTACTTTACTCTCAAGGCTTAGTCGTATTAATTAGTCTTGTACATTAAGGTAAACCGCTTTGTTATAAAATCTACATATTATTTAAACACGTTTGTTGCAGCTCTTTTTCATTCTTTATGATTGATTGTATAGATGCTTAATGTATTTGTTTACAGCACACCGTCTACAATCTATTTCATTTACTGCAGCACTTTTTGGACATATACGTACTAATCCTCTGTTCGTAATACAAAAACTTTTATAGGTGTCATATCTGCAGATGATTTGCCGAGCGGGTTCGACGATGAACCACAGTCGACTTTTATCGAAAGATTGGGCGCAGGCACCGACAAATTGTTGGCGGAATTCTTTTGCTGGTGGGGTACAGGTACGAAAGCATTCCCCTCGATAATATTACATATGACATCGCAGTTTGAAATTATCAAAAGTTTCAAATTTCTTCTAGCGTGTGCAGCACGGCCGTGGTTCGTCCTTTTCTCTGGTTTCTTATTTATCGTTGCCTTGGGACACGGAATAAAGTATATACACGTTACCACCGATCCCGTTGAATTATGGGCTGCGCCACAATCTCGGTCACGAATCGAGAGAGAATATTTCGATCAACACTTTGAGCCATTCTATAGAATGGAGCAGATAATTATAACGTCAGTTGGTTTATCGAATGTAAGTTTCGGTCACGGATTTCTTAGTAACGGGCGTAACAAATATAATACTAAGTAATATTTTTTAGATTCTGCACAATACATCTAATGGTCCAATAACATTTGGCCCCGTATTTAATGATACTTTCCTCAAAACTATTTATAAATTACAAGAGGAAATTAAACAAATAACTACTGCAAATAATTATACTTTAGCAAACATATGTTATGCTCCATTAACTAATGCATTTACTGGACCACCAACCGTTTCACAATGCGTTATACAAAGTATTTGGGGATATTGGCAAGATAGTATAGATAATTTTGATGATTCTAGCATTGATGAAGATAACTTTACAGTAAATTATTTGGACCACTTTAGGGTTTGCTCACAGTAAGTTCATTCAATTATATTTAAGTACATCTTAGATCTTTTTCTTAACAATTTTTCATTGCATTTTAGAAATGCGTATAATCCTGAATGTCTTGCACCTTATGGTGGACCAGTAGAACCGGCAATTGCCGTTGGAGGATTTTTATCACCAGGCCAAGATCTCCATAATTCTTCATACGAAAGTGCTACTGCAATAATTTTATCCATATTAGTAAATAATTATCATAATAAATCTAAACTACATCCAGCAATGGAATGGGAGGAAAGGTAATTAAATTACACACACATATTATATATATATATATATAATGACTTGACGTGTCTAACAATATTGATTTATCCGTCACTTCGATGATATTGTAATTATAGTTACGTCAAATTTATGAAAGACTGGATAAAGACGAAAAAGCCAGCATTTATGGATATCGCTTTCACTTCAGAACGGTCTATAGAGGATGAATTGAATCGCGAGTCTCAGTCGGATGTTTTAACTATCCTCGTATCATACATTATTATGTTCGCGTATATTGCGATTTCTCTGGGTCAGATAAAGTCTTGCAGTCGACTTTTGGTAAACATAATTTAAAAAAATATGTATAGTTTTATCTAAAATTAAATTTTGTTTATGCATCTGTATTTGATGAGTGTGTATTTAATGTTTGTTTTTTAATTTTTAGATCGATTCTAAAATTACTCTCGGCCTTGGCGGCGTCCTTATAGTATTAGCTTCTGTTGTTTGCTCCGTTGGTTTATTTGGTTTTGTTGGTATTCCTGCTACACTGATTATCATTGAAGTCATACCATTCCTTGTCCTTGCTGTTGGAGTAGACAATATTTTCATTCTGGTCCAAACTCATCAGAGAGAAGGCCGCCGTCCAAATGAATCGGTACCTGAACATATCGGTCGTACGCTCGGCCAAGTGGGACCAAGTATGTTGCTCACCAGTGTATCAGAAAGTTGTTGTTTCTTCCTTGGTAAGTATTCAAAATGAGCACTTGTAAAATATTTGGTACAGAATATCTTTTAAAAAGGTTGACAACGTTTTATTTCTTTAGGTGGATTATCCGATATGCCGGCTGTTCGAGCTTTTGCTCTTTATGCCGGTATGGCGTTATTAGTTGACTTTGTGCTGCAAGTAACATGTTTCATTAGTTTATTGGCACTGGACACTGTTCGTCAAGCAGTACGTAATTAATAAAGCTAAAAATGTAATCCTGTAACAAAATATTGGTGTGATTAATAATTTTTTTAAATTCATTTAGAATAACAGACTGGATGTATGTTGCTTCGTTCATGGTTCGAAAAAGGATAACGGTGAAGAAGTAGTAAATGGAATTTTATACAAACTTTTTAAAGTTGTCTACGTTCCGCTATTATTGAAAAAATGGATGCGTGCATTTGTCATGATAGTGTTCTTTTCTTGGCTCTGTTCGAGTATCGCGGTTGTTCCACACATCGAAATTGGACTAGATCAAGAACTTTCTATGCCCGAAGATAGTTTCGTTTTGAAATATTTCAAAGTAAGTAACAAGATATATTTATCAATACAAAAATATAGATGCAAAAAATACAATATGAATCTTTCTTCCAGTTTTTAAATAGTTATTTATCCATTGGACCACCAATGTATTTTGTCGTAAAAGAAGGTCTAAATTATTCCGATACAAAGGCGCAAAATCTTGTGTGTGGTGGTCAATTTTGTAATAGCGATTCGGTATCTACTCAAATATTTATAGCATCGAAACAATCTAATAGGTAAGAAATACGGAGCATTTATTTTCAATCATATAGAATTATATAATAAATATTTCAAACAACTGTTTATTTAGAACGTATATAGCAAAACCTGCATCATCGTGGTTAGATGACTATATCGATTGGTCTCAATTATCATCTTGTTGTAAATATTTCGTTTCAAACAGTTCCTTCTGTCCGCACACAGGTATAAAAAGTGAACACTTTATTGCGATATTTTGCACCACATTATAAAGTAAACTAAATAGTGCATATATATGTTTTCTTTTATGTTTTTAGATACTACTTGCGCTAACTGTAATATCAGTAGAAATAATATCGGTCGACCAATATCATCGGATTTTGATAAATACGTGTCATTTTTCTTACAAGACAATCCTGATGATACGTGCGCCAAAGCAGGTCATGGCGCTTATGGCCATGGTGTTAATTATATTACTAACCCTGACACGGGATTTTCGAAAGTTGGGGCGTCCTACTTCATGGCTTACCATACCATTTTAAAAACATCTGCTGATTATTACGAATCAATGAGAGCCGCGAGAGCCGTATCGGCAAATATAACAAATATGATCAATAATCATTTGAGAAGCATCGGTGACAGTTCAACCGTTGAAGTTTTCCCGTATAGTGTGTTCTACGTTTTCTACGAGCAGTACTTAACGATGTGGTCTGACACGTTATATAGCATAGGAATATCATTGCTCGCCATTTTTGTAGTAACTTTCTTCTTGATGGGGCTGGATATATTTTCCTCTGTTGTCGTAATAATAACTATTACGATGATTGTCGTCAATATTGGGGGTTTAATGTACTGGTGGCATATAACGTTAAATGCAGTGTCTCTAGTTAATCTCGTTATGGTAAGTATGTCAAGTTCAAGAATTTAAGTACAGAATATTACTAACAGGATTAACAATTTATTTCATTCGCAGGCTGTTGGGATTGCCGTTGAATTTTGTAGTCATCTCGTACATTCTTTCTCGGTATCAGTAAAGACAACAAGAGTCGAAAGAGTTGCTGATGCGTTGACGAATATGGGAAGTTCGATTTTTAGCGGTATCACACTTACCAAGTTCGGTGGAATCGTAGTTCTCGGCTTCGCCAAAAGTCAAATTTTTAAGGTACGCTTTAATAAATAAACTAGCTCGTTTTTGTGTTACTTACATTTTTTTTAAATTTCTTTTATTAAATATACTTTCAGGTATTCTACTTCAGAATGTATCTGGGTATTGTGTTGTTCGGAGCTGCACACGGTTTAATATTCTTGCCAGTATTACTCAGTTACATTGGTAAGACTATTTAATTAGTTATGGTTTTAGTAGCATATTCCACATAATAATTTAATTTTCATACACATCATACTTCATTGCTTAATGATTTCATCCATATACTTATTAAAACAAAAAAAAAGAAAACACCAGTGCAACATAATAATCAATGCGTTTAATTTTCATATCCCTGGGTATTGTATCGTATGATAAACATGCAAGAAGGTTATATTCTACAGACAAAACATTTACTAATGTATCTTTTCTTAAGTATTAACGTTTGTACTTGTTTCTGTCCGTGTATCAACATAGAAATTTGTCTTGAAATGTTGACGACCTTCTAGTAGTTTCTTGTTGAAAGGATTAAATAAAATGAAAATGTTGTAAGGAGTGTTAAGTGAGCTTCGTCATAACTTCTGGTGGTTCTAGGCACCCCAATGAACAGGGAAAAGTTGGCGAATCATAAGAGAGCAATGCAAGGAAATCTGGACAACGTGCAGGAGACTTCCTTGAATCATCGCGTAAGCAAACTCAATTCTCCTCCCACACCCACCACAAGCACACCTACGTTCAGAGTGCTCGAATACGAGAGATAGGTACGCAGGACACACATTTTTTTTACACTTTGTTTTATGTCGTGACAATATTCTTTCTTGTTCGGCTTTACGACACACAGGCACAGCTTTACGCGACACTCGACTTTCTTTTAAAGTCAATCGATTAAAATGAATACTGTTGATAATTCATATTGTTAGAACAAGCATTCTAAATATTTCCGACACACCGGGTGGAATCTTCTGCACTTGCTTGACTCTTGTACAGGTACTCGAAGTTACACACCTCTTCAACTTCTTTCCGAAATCTGAATATTGTAACGAAATTTGTGTATATCCATGAGTGTGGGATGGAATACCATGTTCATAAAAATACGCTTCTCCGTTAAGATAATACCATTTTTTTCTTTTCGTTAATTTGATTGTTGTGAGTTAGTTGCAAAATTTCTTCTTTTCATTTCATGTTTTACGTGTGCTCTTGTGGTTAGTTGGCCATTATGTGTAACATAGAATCAAGTATCATGCGTTATTGGTACACAATCCTATTTAATTGTGTGAATGTAACTGGCGTAAGTCATTATGGCTATTTTATTAAGTGTAAATTATTTTACAATGTCGTTTAAAATGTTAAAAAGCGATATGGAAAAGATGAATTACCACTGGTGAATAGGTCTCATATCTTCCTCCTTTTTTAACACGTCATTGTTTTTCACTAAGCACTATAATTTATCTTATAATTTGTTTAATATGGCATACTAACGCATGTGATGCTTCTAGCTGCCTACAGTGTATATAGAGAAGGTTGAAGTAAAAGCATACATTAAACGTTTATTTTCTATTGATATTTACAGGCGTGATGTCGCGCCGAGGGCATAGAAGAGCCCATCAATATGCCAGCGGGGCTAGAAACAAATTTAGGAGTCAAGTACATGGGCCTGACTCTCCTCTACTCCAAAATGACAACAATCAGTACCCAACCACTTCCTACGCCAGTGTGAATTCCATAGATCCACCGAATAATCGAGTGACATTTTAGCATTAATTAGTCCGAATTAATTCACACGAAAACTTTTGTACTTAGGGAGACTGAACATAATCTGTCTAATACGATGCATAATTATTTTTACTATCGCCAACAAAGTTTTCTTTTGTAGAAATGTCTAGTAGGTTTATGTCTGCTGCTGAATAGTGATCAAAGGAACTATGGGATCGATGCGAACTATGAAGTTCATGACTGGTATCTTTTTGTAATTAGAAAGGAAAGGAATTTCGTATCTTGTTGTTAATCTTAATCTTATAAGATTGCGTTATATTTAGGATATTTAATTGTAGAAGAGCGTTTCATAATTTAACGTTATTCTATTACTAAAAGCTTTACAACACATTCGCTTAATATTTGGTGGTACAATCTATTGAGCCGGTTGAAAGTGCCAAGAAACAAGTTATTTTCAATTAACTACAATTTCTTGTTTTCTGATACCTTTTTTCATTGAAAATGCGTAAATATGCGTTGCTAGGTAAACGGCAAATGTATCTGCATCTTTGTGTGGTTTATTCACATGTGTACATTTTTTTTCATCGCGAGGCAAGTTCAGTTTCCGATATGGATGTTGTATGAACTGTTTGATAACAAATTGCTTCGTCGATAAGGTTTGTGTATGGTAAAAAATCTCACGATGCTCTAGCTTTTAATTTTGTAATGTTTTTTCGAATTGTTTGTACAACATAAGCGTGGAATTTCGTCCAAAAAAAAAGTATTAACCGTCCTTAACCTAAACAAACCATCGAATACACACGAATTTGAATTTATGTTGTATAAATTATTAGTGAATCGCGTGCACATAAAGTTAAAGCTGTTACTAACTTCAAATTCATGGCATCTATATCGGAGTACAACACCTCACTTTGTCTTTTATTCTTTCCATAATACATAAACGATAATATTCCACTGGAGTATAGTCGGGGCCACGATATAGCGATGTCGTAAAATCGGTCAGGCGTCAAAGTAAATATGTTTTAGCTGCCGGGACCCGAAAATTGACAGAAATGTGAGCAGATAAGTACTTGAAAGCATGGTCAGGATCGTACGAAGAATTCTTGTATCCAGCGAAAGTAAATTCTAATATATTTACTGAAAACTGCATGCAGCTAGGACAAATTAGGGTTTTTTTTTCCCCCTTTGGGGGAAGCCGCTTTTGGAAATACGGTTACAGGTAAAGGTCTTATTGACAGAAATTTTTCTTATTGATAGAAATATAAAAAGGTTGTGTAGCTGCGGGCACAGAAAGGAATTACAAATATTTCAGATAGTAATTAATATTAACATATTTTCCATTTGTAAATCAAATATCATTTTCTACTTGAAATACCAAATCCTATGCTACCATTCATTTACTGTTGGAACCCTGAAACAGACTGCAACGCACGGTCTTGAGTGCCGCAATATCAATAGGTGCTGATTCTTGAGAGTTTAGTTTACGACCTCGATATATCGTGGCCCCGACTATATTTGGTATTTCTCGTATATAGCCGACTTTAGTAACACTTTCCAAAAACGTATTTTCTACTTTAAAAGTATTTTTTAATTCTTATAATCCGGTAGGTTTTACGTAATCTTTCTTCTATCTGCAGTTTTATAAAACTTGGCTATGTAAAACATTAATCAAGTTGCAACAAAGATCTAAGTATTAAAAATGAAAAAAAAAAATGAGTATGAATTGCCTTTTTTTTATGTACAGTTGCCACTTGGTTCTGTTAAGTTTCGTTCACACGATATGTCAAAAAAGAGAGAGAGAGAAGAATTAGATAATTAAGACATTCAAGGAAAAAAGGAAAGAGGTAGTCATCCTTATTACCGAAAATTGAACAACGTAGACGTATTAGCGTTTCATTTTTGTTGCGTGCTTCATTGGTGTAAAATGTCTTGTAAGAAGTATGGCGCTTCTACTCAATGTCTGTAAAGAATTTTGAACAGTATTTTCTTTTTCTTATGTTAAATTGAACGGAGAAGAATGTTCGAATACACTTAATGGCACCGGTACGATGCCAATCTCCTCTGTTAATATGGATATTACCCCCCGTCACGAGTTCAAACTCACGCGTTTTATAAAATTATTTGTATACGAAGAACAATTTTTATACTGACAACAGAAAGATACAGTAACGCAAAGTTACAGAGAACCTCGCTAGTTAAAAAAAAAAATTATAGATAAAACCTTGGCGATTGTTAAACATTATATACTATGTACGCGGGTGAAAATCGAACTCGTTCATATAGATCAGTGTTTATAAATTTCGAGTATCTAGTTATACGTGCGAGTTTAGCGTTCGAGCGATCAAAAGCATGTTCTACATGTATAAATGGTTAACAAAGTAAAAATAGTATTGTGAACGGTAAATAAAAGGTGCCGAGATTTGGCAAATAAGTATGTACAATTATGCTCGGGTTCTAAAACATATCACGTCTGAAACTTCAGTATGAAATTCTTGTAATGAGCAGAGCACGACGGTACTACCAAAGAGATGTCTGAATAACACGATACTGTGTTAACACGTAATACGAATAAACTTTTTTCTGTTTGTACAGTACTCTATCTTTTACATAAGATTATTTACGAGAATCGTAAGGATAACAAGTGTGCAAGAACAATGCTGGCAAAGCTTTGTGTGTCAAACACGTGCTTGCAAACCGATCTTCGTGCCAAACCAACGAAATCTTTTCGTATCTTCGAACAAGCTCGCTAAGCGCTTTATTTTACAATAAAATAAAGGATTTATTGAGCCATCTTACATAAATTAATAACAATTACGTATTAAATACAATAGGGTTGCCTTTTGTACATGTACGTGAGAAATGAATCTTGAAACAACAAAGTTTAACCCATCGCATGTAAAGGACCAAATAGGTGAACCGCTGGGCAATTCTCGTCCGGATTACCAAGGAACTGCGCGTACAGTTCTTGATAACGGGACAGAGTTAGTCCTCCTCGCCTCCTATCGTCGTCCTGGTAACAAATAAAAGGTGAAACCAAATGAGAAACTTGGAAATCGCTTGAGGCATGTTATATCATCTGGATTTTTATGTTTACGCAAACGTACAACACTAGATTGCACGGACGTCAGTTCATATTAAAAGCACAGTTACCGAAATGATAGTCTGGTCTACAAACATTTTTAGTCGCTAGTGCGTGCTTCCGTTGACTACCGAACGTAAAATGTGTGCGACCATCAAACTTGGCATCTTATCAAACTATTGTTCTTTATGTCAAATTTAAAATTAATTTTATCTTTTTCCAGATTTCATTATTTGTTCGAATCTTCGATATCATTGTAGAAACAGATTTAATTATGGAATATGTTTAAAATTATTTAGACAATCTTATACTTGGAGACAGGACATATCGTTTGTTAAATCGAAGATTAAAAGTAGTTCTATGTATAGACGCAATACAGAAGAGTTGCATAGCAGATTAGACCAATCGGTCTTTAAACTGTTCATCTATCAAAGTAATTTAAAGTATGATTATTACATTAAGAAGATTTTGATAGGCCTCGTCTAAAATGTGAATGTTATCCACGGGAATCCTTGACACGCAATTATAGCGAAATTCATCGGCTGCAATCACACCATCATCTGAAAACGATATAATAATATATATAAAATACATATATATATATGTAAATGGTACGTGAAATATATAAATGTATAAATATTTCACGTACCATTTAAATCTATTATCTTAAAGTGACTGTCGATAAACATTTTCATCGCCTGTGGGAAATCTCTATACTCTCGGCCAACGCAACTTCTTTGTACAGCTTCCTTGAACTCTTCAATTGTTACAATGCCGTCCTGAAGGAGAAATTGAAATTAATTATCGATAGAAACATTGCACATAATTAATCTTACCTTGTTGAAATCTGCGAGTTCTGCAACTTCTTCCCATAAGGAAAGCATGATGTGTAGATTCTCTTGATACCGACTATAACTAAACTCTCCTTTTCCCTCGATTAAAGTCATCTTAAGAGCCATGCACTCAAAATCGTGCTTCTCCAATCTGCCATTGTTGTCTGTGTCTAAATTGCATTAAATACACATCGTTAAATTATTCGTGGTTAACCTTAGCCAGTCATGTTCGTGTGAAACACAAAAGTGAATGTGTGTGAGGAAGCCAATTAAAATCGATCGGTTCGTGCCAATTTATGTCTAAGGAAATTTTTGTGATTGTATAGCTGGAAGCTTTTCAAATATTTTATTTTTTGGCAGAGGTCGAGATTCGTCATAATGTTTGTATATCAAACCGATAAATATGGTGAAATTTCATCGATTAATCAATTAGATTCCCTATCGACTTTGATACCTACATCGGCTATTAATATTATCCATACATCTATATTACCAGTCATCGATGTCTTTTTATAAACCGATATTATCGATTATCAGTTTCTGTTAAATTACGAAGTACTGGTTTCGTTTTCTTGGTTAACTTTCTTTCGCGAAAAGTATTTAATTCTGTTAATGAATAGATCTTTATTTATAAACAGTATGTTTTTTTATTATGTAATGTTAAATTTTGTTTTATTATTACGTCACAAATTGTTAGTGTTGCATTGTTTGTACACAATGAAGATACACATACGAAACGGGCAGAATATTCCATAAAATAAAATAGAGCCAAGCTTAAATTTGGCATCGGCCAATTGCAGCTGTTACGACGACGACGTGGTATAGTTTGAAGTCAACCTAAATCCTAAACAAGCATGGCACTCTCGAAGCCAAGAGAACCTTCTTTTGTTCCTTGTCTTCCGCAACTCAGGTACAAACTGTATTTTTTTCTGTTGCGTTGCATACGTAGAAACCTGTTAGTACGTACAAGTTCACTCTGGCGATGAATATGTGACCCGTATATATTTGTCCTCTAATGGTACTAAAAAAGGAAAGGTCCGCTGGGATCTGTAAGCTTCACAACACAAATTACACATTGAACTTTATCGATAGCTGGACAAGAACGACACTCGTAACATGCTCCCAACTCGAAGTGGTAATCGTAACGTTATTTGTGCAACAGTCTATTACGCACGCATGAATAGTTGGAAACAATATCACAGAAACCTAATGAAAATGACCGCGTACTAACCGTAAAGAAATCGTACAATGAAATCAACTCGATTGTCCCAGCTGTACGCCATTCTCTGAGGTATCTTTCTGTCAATACCAACCCTGCTTCTCCCGCGTTTCTTTTTTCCTTTTCCGTCGCAAGCGTTAGTTCCTTTCTTCGCTTTTGTTCCCTTTTATTTCCTTTTCTCCCTTTATTCCTCCGAAAGATGAATGAACTAAGCGTGAAAACGACCAGAACACGCAACGTATTCGAATGAATGAGGAAAAGACGTAGAGGTAATAGCGTAGAGGAGTCGATGAAGAAAGCAGCTCAAGACAATGGTGGTTTTGCACTGAATTTGATTCGAGTCTCCTCGAATCGTGGCTAAGTTTAGAGTACCCCCCCCCGAAGCTGCCGACAAGGAGAAGGGGCTCAAGCGGTGGTTGATGTCGGTGTAACCATGTTACAGTCACCGAACTCGCCTGAAAGTAATTCGCTTTCGCCGGCTTTCATCGGTCACCATCACTGCCCCCATACTGGTTTCGTTTTTTTTTCTTTGCTTGACTGGAACAACTTTATTAATCAATAATATTAGTCGGTGTTGTTTAGCCTATTCATCGGCACATTTTTCACTCAACAATCTCCGTTGACTAATTGGACGATAGTCGTGTTAATCAGAATGCAATCTACTTAAAGAGAATCTGCCATAGAGTTATTTTCCTTTTATTCTATTTTTTTATACATTTAATTTATAAATTTCAGTGATCTTTCATTTTTTGATTCATTGGCGAATAGCCTAGACGGAACATCAAAATTACGCGCTATATCAAACAATATGTATAAATTATTCTTTGACAACGGTTAATTAGGTCTGCCCGTCAACATCAACTCTCCGGCAACCATAATTTGTGTTATTTTTATTTTTGACCAGATAATGCGCAGCATATCGTGATTTAATGTGAGTATAAAACGGTGTGTTTATTCCAGGATGATACAGATAACGGATCCTAAGCGTGAGTATGTCAACCGTGACATTGATTTCTACAAATTCAGCGGAGGTCATGGCCTACGGAATAGTTACAAAGTAGGTAGATTAGAGAGGGAAATCTTCTTTTAAATATATCTTCGTATCACGCGTGTTACAATTTGCAGCTATGACCTTCTGAACGAAATAACTAAATAGAACTAAACGCATCTATTGTAAAACTGTGATTTTACGTCGGTTGCATCATCGTTTGTTTGGCTCGTCAAATACACAACTTCTCAATGTTTTTACAAGAAATTGTTGAAAATCGTTTTCCGTACTTTCTCCTTCGACCAACTTTTCCAGTTGCACCTATTCTATATACATACATATTTACGTAGCAAATAGAAGTTCAAAATACTTCTGTTACATACATATAAGAAGTTACCGATCGGTGAATTTCAAAGGTTGCTGGAAGTTTTCACACAGTAGCATAGACGATCATTGCTCCACATTTTCCCGATCAATGCCTAGTGAAAATAACCGAGGCGGAAGATAAACGGGCAAAGCGAATACTCATCATATAAGGCTCGGTTCTGGAGGGAGGTGTCAGTTGGAAAGTGGGAGCTCTCGTGCAAAGAACGAGAAAGAAACGGAACGTCTTGTTCTGACCGATCGACATGAAACCGAAGCTGCGCTCTCTGCTTCTGATCGCGCTCGTCTTTTCCGGTAAGTTTCGCCAATCCTTCCCGTCTATACGTATCGTATATATTCCGTATATACGTGCTCTTCTTTTGCAAACGATCTTGTTCTTCACTTCACTTCACACGCGATTTGCATACAATACCAATTAATCGAGCGATTCATTTTCAAGAGGTTCCAACCGAACGCACAAGTGATTTAGACAATTTCATATTTGAAAATGCGGTAGATGCGGAAATGATCGAATCATGATGCATGCCAGAAATTTCACTTCCATTTTTGCGACTTAATGAAAATATCGGAGCAAATAGCAAAATTTCTCCTGCAGAATAAACACAATAAACACAATTCCAATAAACACAAAGGGGATCGTGAACATTTTCTAGCATAGAATTGGCCAGTTTGGCTGTTTATTTTGTTACAAATTTGGAACAATACATGTAGCGTTGCGGTCTATATTTGTTTAGCATATTTAGCGCTTCGAAATGGGTAGAACGAAGATAGTTTTGGCAGAAAGTCCAGGTTCGATTGAATTTCCGTGTATTTTAGCGGACACGTTCTCGTCAGGAAAAGAGAAGCCGGATGATACATCGCCGTGTATCGATGATAGCAGGTTTTATCGAAATCCAAACGCACCAGCGCATAATGTTTGGTCGCCGATCGAATGTGCCAAGTATTATCTCTGCTTAGGTAATTTCACTACTCTCTTAAGAGCCTTGCAAATTCAATATCAAATCCTTTTCATTCAACTTCCTTCCAGATAACGAAGTGTTTGAATTCAAATGCTCTCAAGGATTACTATTCGATGTTTCCAGACAAGTGTGCGATTTCAAAGCGAACGTCAACAACTGTGATGTAACGTCAGGTACAGGTGATTTGAAATTATATTTGTGTCGCATCGAATGGTGATTGGAAACTTTTTAAGCGTTTTACAGAGATGCAACCACCAAGACCGCTTCTAGAGAACGGTGACTGTAATGAGAAGCATTTGGCTTGCGGGGATGGTACGTGCTTCCCGGCTACATACTTTTGCGACGGGAGCGTTGACTGTCCCGATGGTTCAGACGAAGGCTGGTGTGGTTAGAAATATTTAATATTTTAATATTCGACACTATTGCACCAGGTCTATACATAAAACAACAGATTTACGTTTTTCGTAGATATTCAAAATGATCCAAACGGTGCACTACCTTGTAATCCTAAAGAATGCCACTCACCGAATTGCTGGTGCTCCAAAGATGGAACGCAAATTCCTGGTAACTTCACGGTTTCTATGATACCACAGATGATAACGATTACTTTTGACGATGCTGTAAACGCCGAGAATATCGAGCTTTTCTCCAGTAAGAGTAACGACATTTTCTGCAAAATACATACGTATATTTAGGGAAAGTTTATGGCTTACCTGGTTTTTTATTTTGCTTCAAGACATTTTTTCAAACGATAGAAAAAATCCGAATGGATGTTCTATTCGAGGAACTTTCTATGTCAGTCATCAGTACACTAACTATCGAGACGTGCAGTATTTGTGGAATATTGGACACGAAATAGCCACTCATTCCGTCACGTAAACATTTCTTCTAAAATCTTACGAAAAAAATAGAGTACATTTGCCTCTAATTGCTTTAGTTAATTACAGGCATCGAGGACCCGAGGAATGGTGGTCCAAAAATGCTACTATCGAGGATTGGTTCGACGAAATGGTTGGCGTGGCGAATATTATTAACAAATATGCTGCGGTTCATTTGGAAGATATCAAAGGTAAGCGATGATTTCTTTAAAAAGTATCACGTTTAATTATATTATGTTTCTACAAAGTTATTTGAACCATAATAATCGGTGCAATAGGTCTCAGAGCGCCTTTTTTACGCGTTGGTTGGAATCGACAATTCCTAATGATGTCAGAGTTTGGTTTTATTTATGACTCATCTATGATAGCTCCATTTTCCAATCTACCTATATGGCCCTACACTCTGGATTATAGAATACCGCACGATTGCGTAGGTCCTGATCAACTTTGTCCAACTCGTGCGTATCCAGGTCTTTGGGAACTTCCGCTAAATCAATTTTTGGCAGGTGTAAGTTTGCACAGCCAAGTGATCTTGTGATCTTCTTGCTTACCATTGATACCGTTCCGTAAAATTCTGTACCATTAATGGTAGCAGTGATACAAAACAAAAAAAAAAGAATTATCTATGTTAGGAATACACTTGTACGAGAATGGATTCATGTCCTTCAAATTTATCGGGCGAGGATGTATACAAGTTATTGATGCTGAACTTTAAAAGACATTATCTTAATAATCGTGCACCTTTGGGCTTACATCTTTACGCATCTTGGTTTCAGAATCCATCGTATTTCTACGCATTTAACGTAAGTAACTTCTAAGCTTCTATTTAAACATTTTACAGTTACATCGATATTTACAGATTAATTTTAGAAATTCATGGACGATATACTCCGGTTGAACGATGTTTACTTTGTGACGAATTATCAGGTGATCGAATGGATGCGTAAACCAACATCTTTAAATACTATCGAAACGTTCAGACCTTGGCAATGTGTCTCACGTAAATTCCAACCGTTTGAGATCGCTTGCGACTTGCCGAGTAGTTGCAAATTACCGAGCAGAGTGCTTAAATCGTATCGTTACTTGCACACGTGTTTTGAATGTCCTAAAGAATATCCTTGGTTGAGAAACGAATTCGGAATGGAATAATATTCACGTTACTAACAAAGCAATATCTTCTGTGAACAGAAATAAGGTGTTTCTAAATTATTTATTTAAAAAATTCTACGTTTCCAGTTTTATACGAAAATCGTGTTTATTTACTACATAAGTTTACATAGTTTACAAATGTAAAATAAATTATGTCCATTTCTATTACAAAAAAGTCATCCAACCAAGTTAAATGTCCAAACCAAGTGTCACAAAATTAAATTTCTTTTCATTCATCCAAATCAGTAACAAAGAAAAAACGAATTCGCTTAACCCTCTTGCTGTATAAAAGGGTTTTGAATGGATTCCATTCCATCTACTGGACAAATAAGTACCACGGATGTACCTCTACATACAACCAAGCCTAGCATACGAGTATCTTGATTCAATTTATATGGATCATCAGGATCTAGAGCCACAAACGTTTTAATCAATGATTATAACCCTATAATTAATTAATAATTAGGTATATTACCTCTCAAGTATTCTGTAGTATTATCAAGTACCAAATTTAGA